CATTTTATCCAAGTTTGTAACAAAGTTTCTTTGAAAAAATATTAACGATATTTACTTTCCTTAAATAACGTCAGTCATAAACTTGTACGCTGGGAGTTCGGATGTTTGACGAACAATATTTGTACTACTTATGTGTAATATATTACCTCACAACCACTCGTGGAATGGGACAAGCTAACAGCTGATCTAAAAAAAAAAGTTAGCTCAAACACAGATTTATATGAAAGTCGGGGAATGAAAATGTACAGACCTCCACCCAGTGCAAAACCTCGGTATGAAAGAAAGAGATTCATTTGATGGTCAGTGTTGGATAATAGATGGGGAAACTAGAAGATTTATCTGAACCACCAACGTCCAAAACCACACAGCTCCCTGTCTAATGGTCCCAGAAATTTATACCGTGGAGTGAAGTCGACGGGTGTACGTAATCACTAAACTCCTCAGCGTATAGTATCTATTCTTGTCCTATTTCACTGTAATATCTCCGGATTAGATGGCAAATGCTGAGAGTAATCACGAAAAACCTCAATCATAAGACCCATCATACTGAACGAATTCAAACCAAGCATCTCTCAAATACAACCCTGTAACATCAGAAATACAATAATCTGCTCAAAGGACGGTGATTCATAGAAGCTTCTATGGTCTATTTTAAGATAGTATCGCACGATTTTTCTATAAGGACGAAGGAATAATATAAAAACCAAAGTCAGGATGAGCGGTCTCAGGCCTCTACATTAAATACAAACATATTAGTCGTTTATTTACAATTAAATCTCCTTAATAGTTTCTCCTAGGATTATAATAGTTTAGTGGTCGCCCATTTTAAACTCTTATAATAAGAAAAAAACATGTAATTAGTACCTCAGACGATGAGGTTTTCCCTTTAAACAGGAGCCAGACAATACAGAACTGATACGAAATCTTCTACTTGACGCATTCGGTATAAACCGGTTTGGCACATATTTTTTTACCCTTTTATCTCTTTTCCTGGTTATTCTAGATGGGCGCCTCACATCGGATACGGTATACAAAATTGTGGTCCATTAAGTAATCGTGATCTATTATTCGACTGAAACTGTCATTAATAAGAACGCTTTATTTTAGGAGAAATACGAAGAGAAAAGGTTGGAATCTTCGTGTGGTCAAGGAAAATGTAGAGACGAACACGCTAAAGCGAAGAACATAACTTGAATGGAGATCATCTCTTAAAACAGGATTACTTACTTAGATACTTAGGCGACCCGTTTTTCAGTGCCTTGAGCATCTGCGGGTCAAACCTTTCATTGGCTCTGATCTATAGACAGTTGGTATGACAAAAGAGGATTATATTTTAAAATATTAATTTTAAAAATGTTTAAAATTGATGCATTATGGGAAGGTCGTGTCATATCCTAAACTATTTTGAGGATTTTGATTAAATTTGAAGCGGGAGGTCTGTATCGAAATCTGTCTGTAGAATTTAATTGTGATTTGTAGAGATTCAGTATATACAAACACTGCATGCTCATCTAACTTTATAGACGTAATCTTTTTTTCAAAACAGTTGCGTCATCCGTGTAGTACGTGGTAAAAAAAATATAAAAAAAACAAAACAAAAAACGTGCAGTTGAGTTATAGCCACTCCTACTTTATATTCTGGTTCCGGGTTCAAATCTCGGCCCGAAGACCGGCTATCCTAATTTCAAGTTTTTGTGGAATTTCTCAGTTTCTAAGTAAATGCTGGAGTAGTAAATTAGAATTCAGCAACAAATGCTTCCTTTCCAATTAACTGTGTATTAATAATCTTACCATCCAACGTTAAATAATGCACAAATAAGCACCGACAAAATGGTCACAGAGTACTATACCGCTAATGGATACAGCTTTTAAAGAGAAAATTCAATTTATAGAAACAATACAATTTATAACCGCTGCTGATGTGATAATAAAGCTTTCAACGCCATTCATTCGAAAAGCTTTCAAAATACCAATCCTCTTATTGAAAATCGTGACGTAATACCAGGTCAGATCAAACGTTCGACAAACAGCTGTTGAAGTATAGAAGTACGACCTATGATACTTGGATGATGATTGTCTTTGCAGACAGAAGAATTGAAGTGTTAATGCAGCTGTCAATTGAATAAAACACTTCTTTATTGAAGCACAGACGTGTCATAGGCTAACGCACTGATTTCTTTTCAAACTTCAGAAGCATTCAATACACATAACTGTATATTGGTATGAACCAAAGGGCAATATCAAATTTTAGACACGTTTTAAAATGAAGGTTTAAAACTGTGCCACTCTTTTATCAACCTGATCACCGTTTAACAGATTTTCACAAAATTTTGTATTGGGGGGGGGGTTAACTAACATTTGTTCGATATATTTCAGTTTTGCTAAAGGTCGGACAACAATAAATGAAAAGTTATTAAAACTGATTTTTGGTAACTGCGTAAACTCCAAACCTGATTACACCTCCCCGCTCATAATTTTTTATTCAGATGAAGCAAGGCTGATGGATCTTAACCCGATACTCCTCAGAAACTAACTGGACTGAAGTCACATTCAACTCGTGTCAACGCTGACTACGTAACAAATTGAGATTCGGGATGAATAGCGTTCAGTTCCTCCAGTAACACAACTAATTTTCTGTTCAGTTCAGTGACCTGAAGCTGTGGAGTTCCTAACAGAGTTAAAATAAGATTGTGAAATATTTTATCAAGCTTTGTTACTAATGGCGGAACAACATTAAAAGAAGTTGGCTGTTTTCGAGGTCCTTGCTGCCTCCATCATCATGGCTGATGGAGGTAGCAAGAACCTCTGAAACGTCGGTAAATTTCTACCAGACCACACGGCGTTACAACCCATCGTCAAGAGTGAATATCTAGGCAGTATGTAGAAAGGGAAAATGTAATAATGTTCAACACAAAGGATTTAGTCGCTGGAAGGAAAGAATGAAAGAAAATACCTTTCTTTTTATTAAATATTTTCCGGCTGTGATAGGCAAAACATAGCCGAAGCAGAATTAGATGAGCAACATAAATTAAAAAGTTATCACCGGTTCAGAAACACTACCCTCTACGTCTTCAAGGCTCTCTGCTTTAGTGCTTGGTTATCTTTATTTTTATCTTAACCCAGGAGAATTATCATAACTTATAATCACAATATTACAGACCTCTGGTATTTATCACACACTTGTTCTTGCATTTTTCTAACCTAACTGTATGAATAAATGATGGATTCCAGAGAATTATATAACACTTTCCTAAATAAAAAGTTCTTTGGATATTTTCCATCGTCAATAAAATAATAAAATAGAAAAGACGTTTTTATTTAAATAACTCAGCATCGTCACAAACTTTTAGATTTGATTTAATCCTTTCTTGTTGTTATTGCTGTTATTATTATTATTATTATTATAAATATTAAATAAATGACTTGAATTATTATTATTAAGATGTAATGTAGACTCTGGTGAAAACAACGGTCAAGCTGACCATAGACGATGAAAAAACGTCTCTGGTGCTGAAGGGAATACAGACGCCTGGGGAGAAAATGTACAACCCTTAGCAATCTTTACCTTGGTACTAGATAGGGATGAGAGATCAGCATCAAGCCCCCCGAAACTTTAAAACCCCTATAAAAAATTGGGTACACACTGGACTAAAGGCTCGTATTTTAAAGTGTCCTTAACTCAGAATAGGACTGAGTAACTTAATTAGGTATTTCTTGAATTTCCTCAGTTTCTCCCGGTTTGTCTGGGGCAGTAACGTAAAATATTTATGACAGTTGCCTGTTTAACATTTACAATATATTTTTAATAATCATCTTGCAGCCCTAAAAATTTTACATACTACAAAAGCGTTCGTACGCCACTGTTTGAGAACCATGTCTCTATAATCACCTAAACTTCTTTATAAAACCCCCCAGGAAAGTAAATGTCTTTGCACTAAAGAACCTAGTTCATGTTCCTGGTATTTGCTTCTTATATACTTTTTATATCCTATTAGAATACACCTGCTGGGCTGTCTCCAGTCTATGTAATTAAATTTGTTCGATTTTTAATAGGACAGCAACTGAATACAATTGTTTCATTCCTACAAACTTACTTCTCTGTAAGTTTGTACAACAACGCATATTGTGTGTCTTTACCCCGCTTACAGCACTGAGAATCAAACCAGGGCTTTCCGAATACGAAACTGGCGTGCTTAGTGACCGCTTAACTTCGACTTGCGATAAAATTGATGCCAGACTAAAACGAGAAATAATGCATATAACGGAAATGCAAGTGGATGGCATTACCAAGAGCCTTATAATATATATGTTATTTGTTTTGAACGAATTCAGTTGTAAATGAAAGTTTATGAATTCTTCTTTCGGTTAGTCAAGTGCGAAGTACGTTGATATCTGTTAGTGCATCTGCCTGTTGTGTGTCGTACTTTTCGTTTTGAAATTAACCCAATGCCCAGTGGTTGTTTGGTTTAATCCGAAACCAAAACAAGATTTGAATTGGTTAAAGGACACCTAACATTAAACTGATGGAGAACAATAATACATTCAGCAACGAAGGTAGTATGGTTGGTTGTCTGTACTGTGAGAAATTCAATCGCCTGCCTACTTACGTACCTAAATTTGTGGAGTGGATTCCTTTAAAAAACTCAATCTGAAAATGCGAACGTAATTACTGCATGAAGCCCCTGTGCTTATAGCGTCGTCTTAAACCCTTTGAAGCCGAAGCTCGACAAAATAATATTCAAGAATTCAGTCCGTACCGCGAAGAAAACACCACACTAGACCATTACGTTGATCAGTTGGTTAATGCTGTTTAAGAAAACAATAATTATTTTACTTTGTGCATCACAGAAAACGCATACAAACTGTGGCTGGTATATACAGTAATCACCGTGCTTGTAAATTCAATTAAGTAATGAGAACTATAAAAAGTTTTAACTCTATTATTTGATTTTCCGTTTCCTGGCGAAAAAATAATATAATTAATAAGTGCAGTACTTTACCTCAGCGCCCAGCTGATTTCTCGCCTCATGTTCTGTGTTCTTTATTATCGTTTCCTTTTTGTTTTGCTTTCTCGGTGAAGTCCTTGACCAAGGCCCACAGTTTGATGAGCGAGTAGGATGAGGACTTCGCTATTTTGGCAGACGAGAGAGAGCAGATAGATCTTCAATTCGTCTGGACCACTTAAAATGACGCTCCAAGGTGCGTCGTAATGCAACGTGTAGTTACAAACACCCCCACTTCACCGCAACACCGCCATTATGTCAGTCAAATAACACGTTACCTGGTTAATCATACCTCACAGGTTTTAAAGTCCCTTTCTCTTGTTACAATAGCAGTCCACGATTACTTACAATAATAAAACGTTGTACTCAAATACATTCCAATATCACATTCTCGGCACATCACAAAAAAGCACGGAAATCAAACTGATCGTAACAATGCAATGTAATCCTATACTGGTTTTCAAACGAACGAAAACAAATCAGAAGTCGAATATATAAATATAAACATTACTTTAATCTCAAAATTAATTACATATGTTGAATAAGGTATTCAGTTACGAAAGTATATTTCCATTAAAAAGATACTTAGAACAGTGCCACACTCTTATATCACTGGTAAGTGTATTCATTCGTATGTCAAATGGGACATTTAGTTACAAAACATTTCCGTTAATGACGGTACAACGTTCTTATGTTATTCGTAAGTGTGTGTATAATACTGATTGTTAACGAAGTGTTATAAATTTCTTCATCAGAATATTCCGATGTGTACGAATTATAAAACACTTCGAGTCACAATAATAACACAAGCCACCTGTGGATCTGCAAAGCATGTTCAAAAGACGCGCGTTATAATCGAAACGTTTTCAACACGTACAGTTGAAAGACTTCGTTACAGCGCAAATAATTAGTTGGTGACTTACAGTGCAATTTTTAAAATTATCTACACACTGTTTTACACTACAAACGGATTAAATCAACGCAGGGAACTAGAAAGATACTGTATCGAGTAGAGGTTATCGGAAATGTTTGAAACAAAAGTTCGCAATTCGTATATAACGGTCGAAATCACTGCCAACAAAGTGGATATGAACTTTAATTACGACGGTAACTACGCCTGGCTGGCGGCGATACAGGCCCAGTCGCCGCCAACATCTTTTCCTACTCGTTTTTGGCCACTTTTGGCCCTGCAACTTCGCCACGCTTTCCACACATAAACACACACCAGTAGTTGCACAAGATAACTGAGAGACTGGTTGCTCACCATGTGGTGTGTACAGCGACCTCGCGCGCACGAGCTCAGAGACATCTGTGAGCGAAGCTTGCACCTACTAACCGCAGTCTTGAGTCCAAGTGACGTCACGCTGGATACTTTATATCAGTGGTCTTCAACCTGGGGTACGCGAAGACATCTTTGGGGGGGGTATGTGAAATTTAAAAAATATATATATTATTTTATGATAAACACTGAATAATCAGTAATGTAATTTATTTAATTTATTTTAGATGTAGATTATATATTATGTATAACTTGAATTATACACTAACAACTTTGGGGGTACAAAGTTGGAAAAGAAATTATATCTGGGGGTACGCGAACAAAAAATGGTTGAATACCACTGCTTTATATGACAGGTCATTTTATTTATCCTTTTGAAGCCCGATGGTAACCATATGTACCACCTGATTTAACAATTAATAACTCTGCATTTCCCCAACGTATTTATGGACCTCTTTTGATTATCAGAGTAATAAGCGAAGTATAGTGTGTTTCATAAACCGCGTTCTGTGAAATTTTGCGCATATACTGGTCTTCATGTTTGTTCACTGCAGACGGAATAGGATTATTTTTGTTAACAAACGGTAAAGATATGACACAAGGCCTGGGCCTACTTGGTAAAAAAATGGGCAGAAGGAAATAACATATTGAAATTGTCAAAATACAGAGTGAAAGAGTGATAATTGGATTTATCTAGCTCGGGACAGACATCAATAGTGGGCTCTTTTTGAAAACGATATTAAAACATCTGGATGAACAAAAGGCTGGTCATTTATTGACAAGTTAAGCAAATCTTAGCATCTCAAGAATAATTATGTTCCATGGAGTTAATAATTAAATTATACCCTGTGCCACGTCATGAAGACGTTTTGGGGACACTATACAGCATAAAGGATTACAAATAGGCATTACTTATCCCTTTCCGCCTGACGCTAAGAATTTCCCTACGTATTATTAACCCATACAGACTAGAAGTTTTGTTCACTGGCAAAAAAACTGCTTCGTCATCAATCTGTTGTCAAGGAGGATAAAATGATTTGATAAGGCAGTAAACATTTCGTGTGTAAAAGTATGTTACATGAAGCAACATAGAGTTCATGGTCACATTTACATAATGTGGGTGAATGTAAAAGCTGCGAATACATCAAATTTCCCGACTACTTGGAGTAAAACATTCTACACGATTTTTCAATATGCCCCTGTTTCAAATATGGGCCGGAGACCGGCTATCTTAACACGTTTTCTTGTTGTTTTCCTCAGTCTCTCCATGCAAATACCGGAATAACATCTTGAATTAGACCGCGACTTCTTCTTTCCATAGTCTCAACATTTATTACACATTAAATGAACAATCCTGTCAAAACACTGTTCATAATCCGAGCTGATTACAGACTCTTTTTGTTACAAAACCTGATTCACAATACCGTCCCATCCATTTAAAGGTATGATGATGACTGTACTCCAAGATGTTACTCCATGCAGTCTAGTAGAAATTTACAGACGTTTCAGAGCTGTTTACTGCCTCCATCATAAAGGAGATATCATCTCTGAAATGTCGGTAAATATCTACCAGACTACATGGACGAATATCCCAGACGTCATCTTGAAAAAAACGTCTTTGCTAAGAACCTGAAACATCACCCAATATAAAGAGAAATTCCCTAAATGTTTTAGTCGGTTTATTAAGATACAAAACAGTTCTGTGAAAATTTCCAATTTCTGGAGTTAATATTATAAACAAGACGTTTAAAGAAATGGCTATAAACAGTCTTCAAGGAATTTGTTATTTTTAGTCTTTAATCTCAAATTAAAAACAATAAATTAATAACAAATATTTCAGTGTAATAATAACCAATTACCTGAAGACAGAAGCAGAGACAACATTCGAAGCTTCAGTTATATAAAAATTTACATTAGCCAAGGGACAATGAAGCCTAGAAAATAATGTCGGTGGTCCTACAGTGTTTAAGCTACATAAAGTCGTGTTGAAATATTTATATTCGAGCATTTCTAAGCTAACGTACTCCATTAAGATTCAGCTCTAAAGTAAAGTTAAAAACACACTAATTACAGGAAACAATATAACCCAGTTAATTTTTAAAATGTAAGCAGAAAAATATTATCACGGATTACAACTAAGAACAAGGGCTTAACTTACCGATCATGTGAATACGAGATCTCAGAATTAAACCTGTGTTGTCCTCGGTGTTATGAATCTCAGAGGTAGCCCTTTACCTTCCGCATGACGAAATTTTGCTGCAATATAAAAATAAATATAAAGAAATCCATTTCAACCGCTCTAAAATGTTTACTATTATTCTCATTTTTTTATTTTGTTCCAGGATATCTGCTAATAGGCCGTGGCCAAACGTATTCTTTTGGCTCATTATTTAGCAGTTTCTGGAAGATACATATGAAAATATTTTATCAAGATTTGTACTGTTTCCAACATTACTGTCTCTTGTAGTTCCATGCTAGATTGTTTACCAGGAACGTCTTATAATACTTTTGAAATTATTAAATTAAATTAAATTCTTTATTATTACAGTGCTGTATCAACAATCAGATGGCCAATTACATAATAATAATAATAATTATTCTAAATATACAATAAAATTATTTTTATTATACAAGATTAAGAAGGACAGGGTTTGATTGCCAACACAAGTACCAGATGTAGTTTCTGTTCTCAAAGCTTTCTATCTCGTCTTTCTGTCAAGTTGATTCAAGTCAAGAACCACTGGACAGATTTGGATTAAACTTGATGTGGAGGTTATGGTATTCTGCACGACCTCAAAATCGTATTTTCGATACCGAACAAGGCGGCTTGAATATATATAAAAGCACGCTGCGAGGAGCGAATGATGATATTAAGTGTATTCCGGCATGGAATAAACTTTCCGAGCTTGTTTTATCGATGCCTGGCCAACCGTGTTAACTTCGACGCCCTCTCTTCAAGAGAAAGGAGCGTAAAATTAAAATGGGGCGGTTTCGTATATAAAGACCACAAAGCCCAACCCCATGTCACTTCTATTCATAAGCACGGCCTCCGAACTGGCACATGACGTAATGTCACGGAAATTAAACAAATATAAATTTCTGTCAGTCCACGAGTCCTGCTACGTCCAGTTCCTTTAACAGTTAGATGCAACAGATAAACAGATGTGAGATTTGACGCCCTCGTGGAGGTGAAGATGACCACGTTCTTCTGTTTTGTGACGCCTTGCAGACTCGCAGGTAGGTTTCAACGTTTGGAGAAACAGCTGCCTCCATGTCTCTGATGTTTCAACGTAGAAGATGAAGACTGTATGTTTATCCGAAACGCTGGCATCTACTGGCGAGTTTACACGGTGCCAGAACTCAGTATATCATAAGAATTTGAACTTTAAATTGAGCTACATGTAAAGTATGGGTTTAAATGGATCCATGCAAACCAAAATAACTTCCAGTACCAAATTTTATCGAAATCCGTTGGCCAGTTTAACTGATTAAACATACGAACAGATCTCTAACGTCCAGTAAGATTTTCATTTTATGCCAAAATTTCATTGGTCAAATAACCTTAAAAAGCATTGCAATTAAAAATTACTACAGAGTTTAAACAGTAGGGCATTGTATTTAATCAGTGTAAGGAAGAAAATACATTAAAGACATGGTATTAATTATGTTTCTAAGTTTATTTAACGATGCTTTCTCATTAAGTTACACAGGCTAACATTTTCACATCAGATTAATCAGAAATATTTATGTATGCTCTTAGGGGATGATGGTTTAATGACCGATAAAAATATGGTTATGACAAAAAAAAATTGTGCAACTTTCTTCCTTCATTTCCTTCAAAATGACTGAAGACATTAAAAAAATTGTACAAGGCGCTTAATAATTCGTGCTTTTCTCCAATTATTAAGAGTGATTAAATCAAAAAGGATTAAATCGACGGGGCGTGTAATAAGCATGGCAGAGATGAGAAATGCACACAAAAAATTTTGTCGGGAAATCCGAAGGAATGAGACCACTTACGAGACCTAGCAGTAGATGGGAGAAAACACTTTGTATAAAAATTATCGTAATGATATTAATCGATCATACACAGATCTTATTATTGATTTAGTTCTATTGTTATTGACTCTCTGCTTTAATAATATTTATACGCGTACAGTTGTTTTGTACGGTTTTGTACTTTAAAGGAAGAACAAAAATTTCTGATATTTTTTAAAATAGAGTTCTGCGAAAATTCAAATTATGTACTTTACTGTTTATAACAGGCAATAACATTGTGTTGAAGCACAGAAACACGTGGGGAGTGACTGTAAACTCACTTAAGTGCAGTCAAGAGCCATAGAAGTACATAAATAAACAAACAAGGAGTGTCTTTACTTTAAATTATTCCACAGTCAAGTGACAACGCAACAACAAACCCACTCGAATCTGCCGCAGAAGATTTTGTTTATAATCGTCATTCTAAGAACAACCAAAATGCTCATTTCTTTCGCTTCGATGTGCCAAAATATTGAATAAGACAGCAGATTTCGAAATCACTGAATGGAAATAGAAGATCCGAGTTTATAATATTTTCTATTAAATTAAACCGAACATAATCCACATAAAACCTACAAAATTAAAATAAAAATAATAGGTTTTATGGATTTTATAAATCCTTTCTTAAAAATATCACGGTAGTGGCCCGCGGTATAACTTCACAAACCACATTTATAATCCCATAAAGTCATAATTGATTATTTTTGTAATTCATTAGTGATTAAATTTAAATTATAAATAATTTAAATATTTTTAAAGTTCTTATAACTGCTTGTGTTTTGTACCCATTTCTATCTGCATCTCAAGTTATTCACTCACCTTCTGTTCGAATTTTTTTTTTCTAGCATACTTGCTCTTAAGAAAGTTCTTTTGTTCTGCACTAAACAAACCGAATGTGACAAAAAGTATATATCTGAATCTGACTGAGGCAG